AACTGCATGTGGCATAAGTGCAAAGAAAGATAAAAAGAAAAAAAACCAAAAAGTGGGTTAGCAGGAGTGAGAGAAAACGCAGGCTGCCTAGAATGGAAACTCAGTGTGTCAATAAAAAAAAAAAAAAAAAAAAAGTGTAACAAACTCTTTTGGGTGACAGTTAAAATCTAAAATCTTTCATATTTTTTCCTCCCCCTTTTCCTTTGGATACTGTACATTTATTGCGCGAGCAAGAGTTCTAGTTATGCCACTGTATACCTTACTGTGTGCTGTATGCTGTAGGTCAATTTCATTAAGTTCTATGAGTAAATTTTTGAGTAATCGTCACTTTTGTGACTCTTCCATAATTAATGATAACAAGCGTATTTCAGCCTCATGAGTAAGACATTTCTAAATGCTCTATACATAACTGCTTTTTAATATTAAAGAGAAAAAACACAAAATTTAAATACACATTTGTTTCCAAAAATTAACAAAAATAACAATAACTCATTAAAAATAAGCCAATTCGTATAAACTTTAAATATGTTGTCATATAAGATTTGACAAGTAAAACTGCAGTATGCAAATTGATGGCATTGCAATCAAAATACGTCATCTGCGAGAAGCATAAAATTGCATTTCAGAGGAAGCCTGAAAATTTTGCAGCGATACTGAGATAAGAAATTTGGGCTAACCAATTTGTAACAATGACATCTGAGCATCTTTTGCCTGAAGAACTGTGATGAAGAGCAATTGGGAGACTAGAGACAGGACAAAGTCAGACAGAAGTGGTTAGATGGCTAAATGTGAGACCTTCTGTGGTTCACTGATTTTTCACAGACAGGCAATAATTTCTAACCACAGATATAGCATCCAAGAGGCTCAGACAAGAATAGCCGTGTGCTGATGCTACGATGTGTGTTGATGAAGCGATATTTGTTATCATGCACATGAAGGAATAGAACCTCAATTCCAACTCAACTCAGATCCTCCCTTGCTGTAGCCACTGGAAGGTTGGTGTCAACATCAAACGTGTGTAGAAGCCTTCATGAAGGATGTCTATATATGAGGCAACCAGCTGTTTGAGAGCCACTTGCATCACATCATAGAAGGAAACATTTGAGGTTGACACAGCAATATGTCCACTGTACAGCTGATCAATGGAGGGCTGTTTTCTTTATGGATGAATCCAGATTTAGCCTCCAAAGCAACAGTAGACATTATTTGATTTGGAGAGAACCTGAAACCCGTTATCATCCATCAGACATCTGTGAAAGATATGCATAGGGAGGAAGCAGTGTCTGTGTTTGGGGTGGTATCTCTTTACGTGGATGCACAGACCTCCATGCCTTTGCAAGTGAAACCACAAATGTTCAGGCCTATAGAGATGACATCCTTGATGCCTATGTGCACGCTTATGCTGGGGCAATAGGTGATAATTTTCTGCTACAGAATGACAATGCTAGTCACACAGGGTTCACATCATGGATGATTATCTTCAGCAGCAAACAATTCAGCGCTTGGAGTGGCTAGCTCGATCACTTGACCTGAATCCTATCAATCATGTTTGGGATTCTTTAAGAAGATGTACAGCTGCTCTTCAGACTATTGCAAGAGCAATGGCTCTCACTTCCTACAGAACTGACATACTGAGTAATTAACAGCATTGTACACCGCTGTATGCGTTGTATTGCTTCTAGGACAGATCATACTCTATAATGAAGGAGGTAATTTTCCTATACCAAACTGAAACATTCAATTTGTTCATTTTATACATATGCTAATTCCTATAATACCATAATTGTCAGGTAATTTCTTTTCATGTTATTTTACACCTTGCTATGCATTGTACACTGTCAGTCAGTTTCATTAAATTCTGCTTGTAACATTTTGAGTAATCGTCATTTTCTCTTAATTCATGATAACCATTGTATATAAATTTTTAATTAATTGCATTTCCTCCATTACCCTTAAGTTGTATTTTCAATTTCTAGTTTCCGAAATTTTTTTAGAATACATATTTTTATTTGCTCCAGCTAAATCTTTGATGAAAAACTAGATCCATTGATAATTTTCTCCCAAAGGATACTATGTCACATTTTATCAATTTTACTGTTTTTTATTTTGTTCATATCAGGTCATCACCTGCCTATTCTAAAGTTCACATTCAGTTTGATTTGGGCTAAAAAAATATTTTTAGCAAGATCTACATATAAATAAAACAAACAAATAAAAAATGTATAATTTACAATGAGACAAGTCTTAGTACAAAGAAATGCAAATAAGGGTTGTTCAAGGCTGATTATGTTATTTCTGTAGAAATCTGAAGCATAATTGCCATGCATTGGAACTTTCTAAGGAAGTCATATCACACACGCAATGTAAGAAGTTTGTCTAATGACTTGTAGTTTGACAAGTCATGGCTGTGAAAGTGTTGGTTTATGTAACACTGTGAAAGAAAATATTAAACTAGGGAATACTGTAAAAGCAAGTTTAATTAGATGCTAAAGGATCCGAGCTGATAATTGAACAACATGGCATCATTCCTTCAAATAACAAGTGATTCAGGAAAAGTGGCAAATAGCGGTTTGTGGCACTGACAAATATCAGTGATGGAAGTAAGATAATCATTAAACAATACGTGTCTTGCAAACTCTGTGTGAGGTAAGTCCTCCAGCTGTGAATATCTGATCAGATAGTGACTCTAATAATCATTTGTCAGATGATTTTCAAACTATTAAACACTAAAAGTGAATATTTTACAGTTAATCATTATGTGTGATGACGTGTTGTTACATCATATAACCTTAAAATCCAAAAGAAGCAGCAGAGAGCAACAACATACTGGTTTCTCACAAAAGCAAAGCAAAGCACAGACATCAGCTGCAACGTTCAAGAGAACTTTCTTGCAAGCTACGAAAAGCTTCATTAATGTATATTTTTAACAGTGCTGCTATATTACTGAGCATAATTAATGCTTAGTAATACAGCACAATGATTAAACCTGTCATATATAACCTTGCCTGAGAGAACAGATATGGAATGATGTTCTGGAACTCTCATATCCATCCCTCCATGCCAATATTGTTCCCAACATGGCTAATTTTCCAGTTGTGCCTCTGCAAAATACATTGAGAATTTCTTCCCAAAAGGCCATAATTTGTTTCAGTCACTTAACATGTTCACACTGGTGTTGATATTCATATTTTTTTTTATTTTTGTTCTGAGACAGCACTCAAATGCATGCTTTACTACATCTGATGGTGTGGTACTATTACTTATTCAGACACTGACTATGCAACTGTTCGGTCCAGTAACAAAGTGCATGTGCGTACTTTGCAAGTTGTGTAACTCGTGTTGCTTCTTCATCCCAACCACATATTTCTTTCAGTAACTGCAATTAGAAAGGTGGCTAGAATTTTTTTTAAACTTTTTCCATATAAAATTTAGATAACATGGATATGGAAATAAGTGATTATTTTTATGAATCTGTAAATGGAAGAAGGAGAAATACATCAAGATCAAGATACTCTCAACCTCTTCTTACAAGGATTTTGTTAATGGTATGCAGCATCTGATTGAATATTTCAAGCGTGCCAAAGCACCATGGCAATCCTGCATTACACATATTATTGGAGATTACTTTGAAAAATATAGTTATAGCCCAACACTTGTTCAGATTTTCATTTGCTGTATAAGAAAAACAGTCTTGGTCAACTTCAAACTATCTTTGCACTACAAAATCCTTGCCAGCATTTTGTAAAATGTACCATTGTGGTAAATCTCTCTTTCACATGGATGACCATATATGCACTTGCCCGACATACAATTACCAAGAATTAGGAAAACACTAAATCGATTGATTAGAAGACTTTTTAAGTTGACAAAAGAAACCACAATATGATCTGGGTTAATCAGATATGCAATGCAGGAATAAGAAATTTTCTGAAAAAATTTGAATCTCTGTTTATAATTTTTTGGTGAGGAGAGTATTTCTGTATTTAATTATTTCACTGAAATTGAATGAAAATAATCCATGTTACAGAAACAAAATATTCAGAGATGATAGGTATCAAATTTTTATAGTAGCATGCCATCAAGATAAAACTGAATTTTCAGACAATTTGAACTAAATAAATTTCCAGATTTTACTGTTTAAAAATATTTTAAGAGTAAAAATTTATGAATATTGAACAAAATGTAATTTCCCCACACACACGACTTGTGCTATGACACTGTATATGGCCACACAGTCATAAAACTAATCATCAGTAAGACCTCTGCTGTCCAGAAGACACTTTCCATAACTTTACAGAGAGATGGCTGTGCTACAATTTTTTTAGCACTAAAGAGCCCGTAAGTTGCCACACCATATTGCTTTCCTTGGATTCTGGGATTAAGCAATGAAGCTACATCTCATCACATATAATGATGACTGAAAAAATTTATACACTTTTAGTGTTAAATCAGTTCATGTTGTGTCAAAAATAATTATTCAAGTTACCCTCTGATCAAATATTAGGTGCCAGAAGACCCGACTCTGAGAGCTTTTGATAGAGCAGGCACTCTTCTCATCACTACCATAACTTGATTAAAAGCAACTTATATGCAATGGCATGAAATGCCTTTTATTGGTCTCTCCAGAATCACTTATTCCACATACTTATTATCTGCTACTGGGACTACGATACACATTGCGAAGTGGTTTAGTAGTTACTAGCTCATATCCTTCAGTATTTCACATTGGACAACTTAAAGACTATCTAGGAAGAAAAATTCAAAATAGATAAAAGAATTGCAGAACTATTCATCTGCTACTACAATAGCAGCCAAGTTCTTTCATTGCCAAAGGAATCATGGAATTGCCAGCACAATCGAAACTCTGCACATTAACTGATTAAACTGAATAATTGCCAGTTTGGTATTAGCTGAATATTTTCATTTCCAGTGAAAAAAAAAAAAAAAATCTTGGCAACCCTTAAACAATCCTAGTAATACAATATACTTATTAATCATACCTTATGATCCTTCCCATCAACTTCATGAACTGATATTGCACCTTTAGAGTAGATTTGTGTTCCAGGTGGTTGACGATAGGTGCATTCAGCCTATATAGGAAAATTAGGAATTTAGGAATTAAAAAATTAGGAAGCAATAACTCTAAAAATTAAGAACGCAATAAACTTATTACCTATAGTTATATTTGAAAACTTTATGAGTTAATATAGAGGAAACCACTTAAAACATCAGATGCATCATTCAAAGCATCAGATTTTTAATAAATAAAAAGATTTCAGCATGATTTTTCATTTTTCAGAACTGGGTCATCAATATTTTTATGCACTTTATAATGATTATATTGAACAAATAATTGTATAAAGAGCAAACACAAATAAATAAATTTCAAACTTTTTCTTTGACCAAGAAAAGTAACAAATAAAAATACATCACTGACAATAAACATACAAGGATTATAATATGGAAAAAAAAATAAATAAACATTAATGAATAGGAATCATGCTGAAATGAATTGCAAAACAAGAGCTCAAATAAATGTGAAAAAATAAAAAGCATACTTTACAAACTAAAAAAAGAATATAAATTATGTGCTTATTCTTCACTATGCATATAACAGACAAAATACCTTTACCAGAAACATACATCATACGTGCAACTGAAAAAAACATTTGGATTTTTTCCAATATAGAACATGTTAAATTTTGTCCTTAACCACACACAGAAAAAATTACATTGTGATGCTAGATATACTTATTTAAATGCCTATTCATGATACTTTATGGCAAAATGCCAAAATAAAGACAAACACCTATTTGAACACATACATAAAATTCCTATTTGCAACCTTTAAACTGAATGTGTTTTTATATCTTTGAAGAGATTTCTTACTTCCAAAGAAACAATTGTCAATAAAAGATTTACAAGTATGTCATTTTACTTAATTTTTTTGTTTAGCGAAATAACTAACTTAACAGACACATTCTTCATATCTAGAAAAATTTTACTACCACACTTTTTTATCATGGAAAAGATACAAACAACTGTCTTTTAATAATGTAGTTAAAGCTCAACTGTTCGGCATTCAACTAAATATAATATTTTAAAAACTGCCCCTTCCAAACAATAAAACAAATGTAAGTGTAAATGTAAATGTATCCAATAAACAAAGACATGTAAAGCCATCATAAAGCATATGTATGAAACTTGCCAATGATGTGATTTAGTACCAATAATGGATAAGCATGATGTCACAATACAAGCATGAGATCTTTGCCTATATTTTATTTGGTTATATTGGTTTTTATAAGGACAAGATTTGACTGCTATTTATCTTTTCCCCTCACATTTTGAAAAAAAAAAAAAAGATTAAAATTTGGGATCTGCCTTTTAAAGAACAGCATATAGAAGTAGTATTTTCAAAGTTACAGAATCCTGACATAAAAAAAAAAGTACATTAATGGACAGGATATACAACTTTATTTGAAAATAGATAAACATTGGCAACATAATATGAAGAATTACGATAAGCATTTTTTGTTTTTATATGCTATTCTGGTAATTTGTAGTTGTTAATTATCCAACTAAACAGTGAATGATTTCTTCCTTTAAATTTCTGCCAAAATGACAGGTGCAAGTTTGGCGATATCACTGGATTTCATAATCAGATAAGATGTTTAATTTCATAAGTTTTAAGGCTTACAAAATAAATCAGCTTTTATATCTGAAATGCATTTTTACCCCTTACTATTTTAAATGTTAGTTCTTGACATCCAAGTTGATAATAAATAATTTGATTGTTTTTATAATTTTAGAGTGGAAATTGCTTCTATTCATTTAGTTTCTCTACCATGAATTGTATATTTATATGCTCAGCTATCTAGTATTTTCATGTATTTGGCACTTTCCCAGCTTTTCAGATAATTGAACTTTTACTATACTAGACGTTTACTATAGTATTTGCCCATAAACAAGTAAGGATATAACATATGCTACCTGGTGATATCTGTAAGTCTTTTCTAATCTCATATATTTTAAGCAAAATTCACATAACCAAAGCTTTGACTGTTTTCCGTATTCATCCGGATATGGAGAGTAGTACCAAGTATCAATTTCAAACTTTCCTAACTGTATCTTATCCACATACTTTATTTTTGTAATCTGAAATACACACACAAAAGAAAAAAAATTAAAACTGAAAATGTAAGTTCAAAATATACACATACACAAAAACAAACAGCAAGATTCTATTAAAATCGTACATAAAACAGAACTCACTTTCTAGGAAACATTACTTATTAAACACTCTTATTAATACTGCTAGTAAGAAGCTTTGCTACACTAGTTTAAAATTGAAGTAATCCAGTTCACAACTCCCTAGAATCTTGAATTACAGATTAATACTTCACCACTTTGAATTGTATATAATATAACAGTGGTTAAATACTTAGCTTGTCCCACTGTTAAAATATATAAAGTATACTTTTTATATAAAGTTTTGAAAAATTCAAATGTAAAAACTGCAGAGAAGAGAAAAGTTTTCATACACTTACAGCTATACATCTACAGACTCAATATTTAGAATTTCAGTTATTTCCAGCTGCCATCAGAACATTCCCTCCCAAAAACGCCAGTACATAACAAATGGCAGATGTCACTACTATACAGACATACTTCAGTAAAATAATCATCTCAACTATGATTATGAGAAACTACATGTTTGTTCAGACCAATTTAATGAAATATGAAGGATGAAAATGATTACAGCAAAGCCTATGTATGCAGTCAGAATATAAAATAGCTTCTCAAATGTATCCACCCTGCTTCAAAGCTAAGATAACAGGAGTTTGTACACTCATGCAAAATTAATCGAATTTGCACATCATGTGGAATTTCTGAAAAACTAATGGACATATTTTAATGAAATTTGATATGAACATATATTTAAAACAGAGAAAAAGATGTACCATTCAAAAGTCATTTTATGTATGCATGATTATCACGAAAGCTCATACTGCCGGGATGTCCAGTATCCACATTGTGATATCAAACTGAAAATGAGTCTAACATGGAGTATAATGCCCTCTCACTGCCAGGCAGGTTTTGCAGCATGATGGCAGTTGAGGAGTACTTGTGGCAGTCGATCCCACTTCTGCAGCAAGGCAGTTTTCAGTGCCAGGATGGTTCTTGGAGGGGGATGGCAAGATGAAATTGGCTTTCCAAGAGTGTCAAAGATATACTCTATACAATTAAGGTTAGAACTTCCTGGCCAATCCATGTGGCAAATATCCTCACTTTCCACGTAATCACTGACCAGCCGAGCTTTATGCGGATGTTGTCGTCTATTAACAGGACAAATGATACCCTGAAAAGTCAAGAATATGGATTTAACATCTCTCTGTACCTAATAGCAGTCAGGATGCCTGTGTTGAAAACATGCATGTGTGTGGCCACCCTACAAAATGCCTGCGCAAGCCATTACACATTCAGCACCATTGTGATCACCTTCCCTGATGATGGATGGAATTTTAGGGTTCCAGGCTCTCTCTAGATAGATACTTCAAGAATTAGTGTCTAGGCTGAATCTTAACTGATCTGCGAAAAGCATGGTGCTCCACTGAAGTCTGGTCTGTACCATGCTAAACGTTCTCTTTTGTGTGTTGCAGTAAGCAGGAGAAAAACAGCAGGTCTTTTTGCATACAGCCCTATCTGATGAAGCCTTTAGGCAATTACCAAGTTACAATGGCAGCATACTGCTCACATGATAACTGAGACGCTGTAGCAGTCCTGTACCACTGTGCTGAAAGTGCCAAATAATGATCCTCATTCATTGTTGTGGATCTTAGTCGACCTTGTCCAGGTTCCTTCGATACAGATCTGGTGTTCAGAAACTCTTTCCAAAAATTGCTGATGACACTGGATGTTACATTGAACTCCGCAGCCATTTCCACTTGCGATTGGGCTGCCTCCAATCAACTGACAATTCTCCATCTTATTCAATCATCTACATGTTTGTGCTTACTCATTTTACCTGATAGCTTACAAAATTTTCCCAACTCTTATGAGACACAGCAAATGTTGTGAAGGAGTATCAGCATACAAATCAACAAAAACACTTCGTACACTTCTAATCCATCCATAGTCACAGCTACGAATGCATACGCTTGTGTGTTTGACTCTGAATATTTACATAATTCTTTAGTGGCATTATTAGTACCTTTAGATCGATACCTTTGTAAAAATAGACATAAATTTAAAAATTCTCTTGCTTTTGCACACAAGTATAGTTATCAGTACCCAAAGTGCTTTGACTCTCCCCCCCTTTTTTTTGACTGAGAATTCCCCTTTGAATTTGATTATATTGTGCTTCTAGCTTTCTTCGTGTTCTCGTTAGGAAGTGCATTAACCTAATTTTTTACTACCTCTTTTTGAAAGAAGAATTTTTTTTTTTTTTTTTTTTTTTTTTGCCATCCTTTGAAACAATACATTTACAATATAAAGACTAAAACTCCTTTCTTCATTTCTCATTTACCTCTTGCAGATCAGGCTAAAATGACAGGAACTCTCACTTCCATTACAATGAGTAATGTAGAGAAGTACATTTTATTTTGTAAAGCATTGTCTTCCTCATCATGTGCCTTCAAGGTAGGAAAGCATTCCCTTCTATCAAATGGAAAGTCTAGAGTCTGAATCCCAGTGAGGGCATAGTTCATTTTTCCCATTTCTTACTTCAAAAGATCTAGAGTTTGAATCCCAGCAAGAACACAGTTCATTTTATTGCTCCAGCTTAAAAAAAAAAAAAAAAAAAACTAATGACTTTAAAACATAATACTGTTAATATGTCATATTATAGATATAAATTAAATTTAACTGCCTATGTATATTAGATAAAAATCTTATCACTTTGCTACAGTGCCCAGTAAATCTTGGAAGACACACTGCCCAACATAGAAAATGCAACACCATGAAAGATTAGGTAGAATGTGATGCCTGATACACAGCATGTATAAGTAAATAAGCGATGCTATTTATAAAAAGATAACTTTATATAGTCATGAAATATACAGGGAATTAGTAAGATACATGACAATCACTTGTGGCGATGTAAGCTGCAACTCTACAAGGTACAGATTCAATTAATGTGCCAATAGTGTCGTCAAGGATGGAAACCCACATGCTCTGAACTTCTCCACAGTTTGTCCTCCGACAATGGCTATGCAAAGCAGATAAACAACAATCCATCACATCCCAGATATGCTCGATCAGTAAAAGATCAGGGGGACACTGCAGGCAAAAGTTTATTGGCTAAAGAATGCCATGTGCAGTGTTGTGTTTTCCTGCTGCAAAATGCCATTCTGCTGCTGCTCAAGGTAAGGTAGCACAATTGGCTGAAGCACCTCATCAACACATCAGTGTGCCTGTGATTTGTAACAGGACAAACCTGCTATCATGACTCATGGCACCTTAAAGTGCGTTCAGACGTGGGCGCAAAGCGCATAGAGGCATAGTCATAAGGGCATAAAATACGGGAGACCTGTTCACACCTGCGAGAACGAGGTGTAAGCCGTGGCCAATGAGAGAATCTAAATTTGCGCATGTGTGGAATGTCTCCAACTTTCCAGCGCTGTTCTCCCACTCGATTGATTTCCCGCGTTCGCTCTGCTTGTTTTTTTCGTTGTGTCATGGCTTTTTCTTTTCAGTTCGCCACAAAGTTTTACTGGCTCAACAGAATAATCTTTTATCTGCCCTTCCCATTAGCCAAGAGGCAACGGAAGAAGGTAAAAAACGAAAAAGAACGAAATGGTCGAGAGATATTTTTTTGAAAGACCAATACTTGGTTGGCACATATATTTCTGTGCGAAGCAGTATGGAACATTTCTGCATTGTACTGTAGTACTCTCTATACTATAAACATGCACATGCATATTTATATATATAAAACCTTCTTCAATTTTTATATATAATTTCTCTTAGGAGAAATATGATATTCTAAATATGCCTAATTAAAAAAAAATCTTGAGGATAACTAACAGATAGCCTGTACATAATATTTTTCCATTTTGCAGGTGGGAAAGCAGTTAAGCTAAAAACAGTACTTACCATACATTATTATTATTTTAATTTTCAATCAAAAGGAAAATGTTTCTATGACAGTGAAACATGTGTGCTTAGCACTCCTTATTCACTGTCCCTGTCGATCACTATAGTAGTTTGCTGCACTACCAGTATCAATTATCACTAGTACTAGTATCCCACAACTGGTCACAATGACCAGCAACTACAACTAGTACAATACTAGGAAACGTTCACCCAACAATGTATTTTATGCTCAATCATTAAATAAATTTTGCTGTGTTGTCAGTTGTATACACCTATTTCTAATAATTCGCATGCATAAGCCGCACCCCTGAATTTAATTTCAACATATGCTGTCATTTCTATTTACGACCAAATCTCAAAAGTAATTTCACATTGACAAATTTTAGGTACCCAAGTCTTCAAATACATCAAAATTATAAACATTCATACCTTATCCAGGAATTTCTACCAGAGAAATAGCATGAATTTAATGATCAAAATTTCATTCAAATGATAGTAATAAAGGGTGGATAATAATAATAAATACTATTCATTAAATTATAGTCCATGTTACGAATTATGTGTGCTATTCAGTTTCATTAAAAGTACATTCCTTTCATGGAGAACGTAATTAAAAAACAGACCAGAACTTCAACAGAAGACAAAACTGTCTAGACTCTTGACTGTTTTAAGGATATTTCACTACATTTTTCCCTTCTTGGAATTCATAAGAGCATTTTCTCAAAAGATTAATCTTTTATTACTTATACAAAGCATACACCATTGAATTGACTACTGTGACTATTCTTAAATAAGTGAAAATAATTTTTTCTTTTTTCTTTAAAGTAATATTTTTACTGTTAAAAAAAACAGCAGATTCTTGATATTGATTTGATGTTTTAGTAAAATTAATTCATGAAGTTTGTTTGGAAAGAAAATCAGCATTTGAAGCAAATAGCAATACAATATTTCCAGCTTTTTCAATAAATTTATTCTTAAATACAAAAATAATTAAACAGGAAAAAAATTATAGTAATAATTTTTTTAAAAAATTATAGACAGAAAGTAATAATAATTTACAC